TACTCTATGGTCTTCTTCTTTTTCTTCTTCCCCTCCCCCCAGCACTCTATTGTCACCTGTGCATACATTAAAAAAGTCAAATAAGGGCCAGGTGCAGTGGCTTACTCCTGTAATCCTAGCACTCTGAGAGGCTGGGTGGATGGCTTGAGCTCATGATTTCCAGACCAGACTGAACCAGAGAGAGACCCCATCTCTCAGAATCTCCAGGTGTTGTGGCAGATGCCTGTAGTCCCAGCTACTCGGAAGGCTGAGGCAAGAGAATTGCTTGAGCCCAAGAGTTTGACGTTGCTGGGTGCTATGATGCCACAGCACTCTGCTGAGGGCGACAAAGTGAGACTCTGTTAAAAAAAAAAGTTAAATAAGTCAATGATAAACTAATCATCTTTTCCCTGCAAGAACAGTGTTTTATAGATTATAAAACCCACAGAACAAGTTTGTATAGACACAGGAGGGAAACAAGTCAGAAGTGCTCTGCAATATCCCAGAGAGGCTTAGAGTCACATCACATGGAAATCGCTATAATGAACTTTTATAAGCCCAATGATAAAACATATTAGAAAACTAAAAATTATTGCGCAGTGATAACAGATATAATTTCACAATAATGAAAAGGTGAAGTAGACTCTCTATGGTCTACAAACTTAATGTGTGTCTTTAAACAAACAAACAAAAAATTCATAAACTAGAGAAACAAGTTTGTGGCCATAATCAACATAAACAAAAAATTCATGAACTAGAGAAACAAGTTTGTGGCCATAAAAGTTATATCACTTTTTATAACGTTATCTGTGTTTAAAATCCTGCAGTTCTGGCTCAGCACCTGTAGCTTAAGGAGCTAGGGCACCAGCCACATACATTAGAGCTGGTGGGTTCTAATCCAGCCCAGGCTGCCAAACAACAATGACAGTTATAACAAAAAAAAAAAAAAAAAAAAAAAGCTGGGCATTGTAGCAGGCGCCTATAATCCCAGCTACTTGGGAGGCTGAGGCAAGAGGATCTCTTAAGCCTAAGTTTGAGGTTGCCGAGAGCTGTGACCCTATGGCACTCTACCCAGGGCGATAGCTTGAGACTTTGTCTCAAAGAAAAAAAAAATTCTGCAGTTCTAGCTTTAGGATAAGGAGTCCAAAAAGATGATAGTTTCTTTTCATTGACCTTGACAATTACTTTTAAACAGCGAACATAAGAATACATAATTAGAGGAGGTGGGATACTGTTGGAGTGGTTGTATCATTCTAAACTGGTAGAAGGGCACATTGAGACCTAGAATAGCTTTTCTGAAGGGACCATAAAGCGAGACTTCTAGCCTGATCCAGAACATACTCAAAGGCGGTGGGTGGGGTAAGGTATAGGTAGTAAAATAATCAGGCTAAAAGTATTTATGGTTAACAAAAATGAGGCCTTAGGTTTTTATCCGGCATGTTTCCAGAAAGAGAAAATACAGGTTCTGCATCTGCTGCATGTGCAGAGTGAGCTCCTGGTTACAGGCCTGTTGAACATTTCTGCTTTCTTTATCTCCCAGTTCAAAGCAAGAGCCAGTGTTTTGGGGTCTTCTTCAGTAACCAACTCCAAATCCTGGTTAGATAAACTCAGCTTTGGCACAGGCCTCTCCTTCAGTGAAGTAATTTCAGAGGAGATCTCTGCCAACTGTGCCAACTTCATCTACCTCTTTACTGAAACCAGCTCTGGATTCTTCCTGCTTCAACAGGGTGCTGCCCTCCTTCTCCAAACCCTGGAGAGAAAGCTCCCACAGTTGCTTGGACTGATGGACTTCCTCCCTCTGGTAAAGCACGCCTACTGGAGCAGGGTGTGAAAACCCTGGATGATGATACAACTTTTTTTTTTTTTTTTTGAGACAGAGCCTCAAGCTGTCCCCCTGAGTAGAGTGCTGTGGCATCACAGCTCACAGCAACCTCCAACTCCTGGGCTCAAGCGAGTCTCCTGCCTCAGCCTCCCAAGTAGCTGGGACCACAGGTGCCTGCCACAGCGCCCGGCTATTTTTTGGTTGCAGCCATCATTGTTGTTTGGCCGGCCTGGGCTGGATTCGAACCCACCACCTTAGGTGTATGTGGCTGGCACCTTAGCCACTTGAGCCACAGGTGCTGAGCCACAACTTTGGTATTGTTCCTGAGCCAGGTCTGAACATGCAACATCAATGAGTACTTGGTAGGGTGACCAGACATCCCGCTTTTGGCAGGATAGTCCCGATTTTTAACAATTTGTCCTGCTTCCTGTGGTGTTTTAAAAAATCCCAATTTTTGGAAAGAATGCATGAACGGGTGGGAGAACAGTAAGGGAATATACGGTTTTCAGCTGCCATGTGGCTATTTCGCCAGGATATGAGTGTTGTATTATTTTTGTCAATTTTATAATGTTAAACTGTAATAATAACAAATAATTGTTGAGAAGTGATTATCAGGAACTGCTTATCAAAGTTTGCATTGTTGTCAGGCCCTGCTCTCACCCGCTCCGCCCCACTCCCTCCCCCCCACCCCCGTCAATAATGTCCTGGTTTACCAATGTTAACATCTGGTCACCTTAGTACTTGGAGATCCTCCTCTGACAGGAGGATGATGTTGCAATAAGATCTTTCAGCTACCTGGTCACATTCTTTTTTTTTTGTTGAGACAGAGCCTCAAGCTGTCCCCCTGGGTAGAGTGCCGTGGCATCACAGCTCAAGCAACTTCCAACTCCTGGGCTCAGGCAAGACTCCTGCCTCTGCCTGCCAAGTAGCTGAGACCACAGGCACCTGCCACAATGACCAGCCATTTTTTGGTTGTAGCCATCATTGTTGTTTGATGGGCCCAGGCTGGATGTGAACCCATCAGCTCAGGTGTATGTGGTTGGTGCCTTAGGCACTTGAGCCACAGGCGCTGAGCCACATTCTTACACTTTAACCCTGCTCCACTATCTGTTTCATCTACATCAAAGTACTCTTGAGAATTCCAAACTGTACCTCCATCTGAATTGATGTATACCCACTTTTCATCATTGACCAATGTCACAAACTTAGTATTAGAAGGTAGACACAGGAGGTAATCATCATCAGCATCCACTATGGTGCCATCCTCTGCTAGGACCAGGGTAAGTGGCTCAGAGACTTACCAATAGCCAGAATGTCACAGGCCTTGCTCCTCAGATCCTGCAGGAAAGAGGTAGCCACACCATGCTATTTGTGGCTGTGGTTGTGGTACAGCAGACATAGCTTTAGAATTCAAATTTCTTCCAGTTTCAGAGCTGTATGTTCTCAGTCACCTTTATAGGGGACGCCCAGAGTCAGACGACCTCTGAGCAAGATGATCTGCAGCTGAGGGGTGGACCTTGGGGCCATTTGTCCACAGGTGCTCCTTGTGGAAGAAGAGCATGAGCCTTCAGCACTTAGTCATTTGTTAATTACTACCCTCACCAGTGTTGTACTGTCTCAATAAAAGGCTAGTGCGGAGGTTGCTCAGGGCTACCCTGCAGAGAAGGGCTACTCTGCCTCCTATAAGCTTGTACTTCTTTTTTTTTTTTTTTTTTTTTTT